AGTGGGCGTGGTCGTCAAGTCGAGGGGCGGGGCATCAATGGGTGGGCGGGGCTTCCCTTCTCAGAGTCTTGGTGGGGGGTGGTCCCTTGATTTCTGTCTCCACCCTGGCACTTGCAGGGTCTTTACAAACATTCACCTTTACTCCTCACAACGTGGAACAGGGTGTGCTGCTCATCGTCGCGTCCCCCGCAGCCAGGCGTCCAGCGCAGCGGGGTCTCAGTGCTGGCCTCAGGCTGTAATCTTGCGTGTGGGAGCCTTATCTTGTTCTTGCTTCCTTGACCTTCTTGTGTGGGCAGGTGACACGTGTTTTGCTCACCTGTGTTTCCTGCATCATGCCGGTGCCCAGCATAGGCATAGAGTCCGCACTGTTCTTTCTGTTGAGGTTGAACTTGGCATAGAGGTCGTTACAAATTTGAATTCCTTAAAACACCTCAGTTTCCCAAGAGGGACTAAAAAAATAGGATTTTTTTAAAGGAAGGGAGCATGACTTCATAATAGGAAGTCAGCACCCACCTTCACCCAGAGGCGTTGGTGGCACGTTGAATGCTGGGGAAAGGGTAGGTGCCAGTTTGGAGGAAATGTCCACTAGAGGCCTCATTCCAGCTTCCTCCCTTCGCTGCAAGATCTTAACCAGCCCCTGGCGTCCCAGTGCTGCTGCACAAAAGAAGGCGCCCGAGGTAGGAATTGCCCTGTTACTGGTGGAGACAGTCCCCGTTTGGTAAAATTCCAGCATCTTCACATCAGGTGCTCTTTTGATAAACAAAGACTTATGGACTTGCTAGACAGACAAATGGCGCTCAGAGCGGGAAATAAGTTGTAATGTTCTGGGATTCTGCATTATGCCAGCTCTGCAGACAGGACACCAGGGCCACCTGTGCCCCAGCACTTTCTGTGGCTCATCAACTGAAGGAACCCTGAACCAGGACTTGTTCAGACGGTTGGCACTGTGGGCTTTGAGGCGTAACATGTTCCTATTCCTCCTCCACAATCTCAGAGTGGCCTTGAAGGTGCCCCCCCAGCACCTCCTCTCTGCTCTTGCTACTGACACGCCTCTCAGTACCTCCAGGATGCACTTGTAACAGGATGATCCGTGACGCCCTCTTCTCTCCCCTCTGTTCCTGCAGATTAACATTGAGGATCTTGAGGAGGGACCTGTGGTGAACGGGGAGAGGTCCGATGGTCTGCGCACAGAAGCTGTGGTGTCGGGGAGCAAAAGGAAGTCCCAGAGTGGAAGTGCCGAGCCCAGGAAGGATGGAGAGGTGGATGACAGGACAGGGCCCCTGGAGCAGGTGTGGGGACAAGGGTGCCCAGCCACACACACTCTGCTGTCATTTTCTGAATTTCGTCTTGTTCATGCCCCGTTGCCCCCACATTTCCTCGGGAGTTGTGATCAGACGTGCATGAAATCTTGACGACTGGTGGACGTCACGGGTGCTGTATCCGGGGTCCCCTAAACAAGTCTCCACAGCAGGAGATCCTTTTGGGAGAGTCCCCCTGCTCAGCGGGGTGCGCTCTTCATGACTGTGCATCTGGGGCGCAGGCAGGTGGACAGGGCCCTGGGTGGATGTGCCTTGAAGAAATGTGTAGGCCAGGTTAGTGTTGTGTTCTCCATGGCACTCGGGAGGGTCCCTCCAGAGACCTTTTGCTCATTTACTCGACACATGCTTTTGGGAGCCTCCTGGGCTCTAGGGACAAGTCTTTGCCCTCCAGGAGCCTCTGGTCGAGAGGGTGACATGGATGGACTGACAACTACAGTTGGGGAGACCTGATGAGTGTGGGGGTGGGGCAGACGGACCTAATGGGCAGGGGGGCTCCCCAAGGAGTCTTCACCCTATGATGGGAGGAGGGGCCAGGTGAAGGCATGACAGGTGTTGAGGCAGAGAGGCATGGGTGTGGGGACTGTGGTGTGGGGCCTGGTCTCCAGGTGGCTGATTGTGGCAGGGAGAGTGGGTGACAAAGTGAATGATGAAAGCAAAACGCTGCTGGGTGGATATCAGAACCCTGTGAGCGTTGTCAGGTCACAAGGACGTCTGAGGTGTGTCAGGAAGAGGTGTGAGAGGAAGGTGGAGGCGGCACTGAGTCAGGAGACGGGTGGGAGGTATTTGTTGTCTGAGAGAAGTCGGTGAGGTCACAGGACATGAAGTGGGAGGGAGGGGACATCAAGCCTGCGTCTGGTGTCGCTGTGTCCCTCTGCAGCTTCTGCTTTGATTCTCAGGGTTTAAGATCTCATCCTCTCTTTACATGGACTAAGATGTGCTTCTTTTATTAGTCGAATGTGAGTGGCAAACTCCGAAAGAAGAAAAAGAAACAGAAAAATAAGAAAAGTTCTACAGGAGAAACTTCGGTATGTCTGGCTGCTACCCTGTCGTCTTCTCGCTGGTTCTCAGGAAGCTGTTTGTGTATCTGTTTGTGGCAAACCTGTCCTCCAGATTCTATGGTCACATGATTATGAAGCTTAGATCCCTTGGCCTTTCTCTTCCTATCTGCTCCCAGTTCAAAATGCTCACAGGTCTTAGATCTGCAGTTGGGCCCCACGCATTCAAGCCTCAGCACAGTCTTTAGGGGAAAATCGGCTTAGCCACTGCGTCCTGTCATCACACCGCTTTCCCTGCGTATCAGCAAGTCCTTGCCCTTCTTGTCCCGTGCCACCCTGTGGGGTTGGTGCCTGCCACACTTCTTATAGAAAGTTGGGAAGGTTTCAGGGATGTCACCATGTTTTCGAGAGCACTGTTGGCACGGACAGGAAAGCAGGTTGTTTTTATTTGATATTTCGATTCCTTCCTGCTAGGAGTGTAACTAATTCAGAAGTCAGAGACATGAAAAGGGGAAATTACCTACCAAATTTCGCTTCTGTTTGTTCGCTTCATTCCGTGAGGGTTAGAGCCCCACTCTGCCTCTGAGACGTTGCTCTTGGGCAGCAGAGCCCTCAGCCTGTGCCCTGACCGATATCGGGTACTGAGGTGTAAATGTCCCCAGGAGCCGTGTGTCAGAAAGAATATTTCCACATTGCCCCTGTGCCTCGTTGTCCCTGTGTTTGTTCCGAAAAGAGGTTGTGTCTTTGTGGCTGTTCAGTCAGAACCTCAAGTCCCAGCTCAGTTACCTGAGCAGGTGAGTGCACCTGTGAGACCAGAAATGTAGCCTGTGGTTCAGATCCTTGAGGGCTCTTCTGGCTCTGTGATTCTGTCTGTTCTGAGCGGCTTCCTATGAAGAATCTGTTACATGCCTGTTGTCTTTCAGGAAGCAAACGTGATTGAAAATGAGTTCTTTGTAAAAATGAGTCAGTTATTGGTTGTTATAACATGTAAAATAAAGTGAGGGTGGGGATTAATATGTTGCTGTTTGGGGCCTTTAGGAAAATGGGCTGGAAGACATTGATCGCATCTTGGAGAGGATTGAGGACAGCAGTGGCCCTCACCACCCCAGCCCACCGCCCCTGAGCTCGAGGAAGCACGTCCTGTATGTGGAGCACAGGTACCCTCTCCCGCGCCTGCAGACTGCGTGCCGAGGAAGGTCCTTATTAGGAGCAGAAGAAACTAACTGTATTTAAAAGTGATACAAGCGCATTATCAGACATTCAGGAAACAGGACAAGGAGAAAGGGGAAACGGAGAATGCCTCCATTTCCACTTCTAGCTGACGGTGTGGGAACACTATTGACTTAAGATGTTTTCCTGGATTGTAGATGCTGGAACCCTGTCCCCACTGTAGAGGTTGGTCCTGAGTTGGTGGGAATCCCGATGAGTCCAGGTCTTTCACTGCCCTCACTCCGCTGAGAGTAGTGGCCAGCCTCAGGTCACCGCCTGGGGGCCGTGGTGTTAGGGAAAGCAGGCCCACTCGTTGTCTTGGACACCAGAATAGCTGTTTTCCTCACTGGGTTTTTATGTGACTTTCTAAAATTCTCAGAATCGTTATAAGAACTCAATTTCATTTTTCTTTTAAAATTTTCAATTCTCTAGACACTTAAATCCAGACACAGAACTGAAAAGGTATTTCGGTGCCCGAGCTGTCCTAGGGGAACAAAGGTGAGACCCACACGGGCATGTTCTCAATTAAAGGTGGGGTTCTCAACGCCACAGTGAAAAAACGAGACCCTCAGGGTGCCCCGTTGTGAGGGGCCTGAGGGTGGGTCAGGGAGGAGCTGGAGTGTGACTGTCTGTGCTGCTGGCTCAGGGCCTCTGTAGCCGACGTTCCAAAACCCTTAACGTGTGAACTTCCAGCCTGAACCCTCAGCAGGTTCCTTCTTGCAGCTCAGTCAGCATCACCACTAACATGAAGTTTCGGTTCTAGGACAAGTTTGACCTTTGTTAATTTAACAGTTCTTTTTTTAAAAAAATGTTTTTATTGATTTTTAGATAGGAAGAGAGACGGGGAGAGAGAGAAACGTGTGTCCTTGTCCTTGTGGCCTCACCCCCTGCCCCCGCCCTGAGGTTTTGCTCCCACAGCCCAGCAGAGGTCGGGCAGTGTAGGTGAAGCGGTGCCATGTCCTGTTCTCCACAGGCCTCGGCAGAGACAGCGCGTGTACCCCAAGTGTACGTGGCTGACGACCCCTAAGAGTACTTGGCCCCGGTACGCCAAGCCAGGTGAGAGGCTTCAGAGGTGCGGGGTTGTGCGTTGGCCGACGCTGGGCACTCTTGGTGTCTGAGCCCATTGGGCCAGGTCAGTCCTCTGCAAAGCTATGTGCAGGTGTGTGATCGGGTGCCCGGCGTGGTGCCACCAGTGTTGGGGCACAGATCCCATGCCAACGGTGTGTCTTCTCAACCATGGTTTTGTGTGTGTGTGTGTGTGTGTGTGTTTATATTTTTTTTGATTTCAGAGAGGAAGGGACAGGGAGAGAGAGATAGAAACATCAATGGTGAGAGAGAATCATGGATCGGCTGCCTCCTGCACACCCCCCACTGGGCATCAAGCCCACAACCCCGGCATGTGCCCTGACCAGGAATCGAACCATCACCTCTTGGTTCCTGGGTTGAAGCTCAAGCACTGAGCCACATTGGCCAGGCTTGACCATGTTTTAATGCAGCTTTTTATCTACCTTATTGCTTTTCCCTGTTGGTATTATATCATAGGAAGCAATCAAGTTCATTTTTGAAGTGTCACGTTTTATATTTTGTTGCAAACTAGTAAGTACACATAATTGAAAGAAAAATAGCAATCGTGCAGAAAGGCATGGGGTGTGGGTAAGTGTCCTGTCGGGGCTGCTTGGCTACAGGGCCTGGAGGAGCACCTGGGAGCCCTCGGGCCAGGGCAGGGGGTAGGGGAGGGAGGCCCCGAGCACGGGCAGAGATGGGGGGCATCAGCTGTGTGTCCTGCGATAGGTGCCTTAGTGCAGTGCTAGTAAAGTGTAAGCCAAGGGTGACCGGGAACCCCTGACCTATTTCATGAAGGCGCTGAAGGGAGATGGGAGTTTCCAGGTTCATCAGCAGAAATGACCCTGTACCCCTGAAGTTGGGCACGAGAAGCAGCCAGAAAGGGCATTTGGTCATGGGTTGCATTCGTGCCTCCTCCATGCCTGCCCGGCCCCTGCACGTTGTCCTGGGTGTTGGTCCTCTGTCCACTCCTCGGAGGAGAAACGTCTGTAGGAAAAGAGCAGAGAGGGTACAGGCAGTCAGCAGACACCTGGGACCACGCTCAGCAGCGGAACCAATGCTTCGATGCGGCAGCTCGCACTCTGCACACAGAGGTTCCTCGCCAAGAGCACCTGAGGAGCCTGCCCTGGTGTCCTCCCCAGGCTTGTCGATGCGGCTGCTGGAGTCCAAGAAAGGCCTGTCCTGCTTTGCATTCGAGCACAGCGAGGAGTACCAGCAGACGCAGCACAAGTTCCTGGCTGCCGTGGAGTCGATGGAGCCCAACAACATCGTGGTGCGTGAGTCCCACAGCAGGACGGTCCCGGGAACCATGCTCACGGGCACTGCTTCTGGGGCTCGCTGCTCTCCTCCATGTGGGGACACCTGGGCACAGAGTGTTGAGCACCGTTTGGGCTGGAGGAGGTCGTGACTCGCCCCGTGTTACTTTCCCCGAGGCTTAGATGCCTGAAGGAAACAAGTGCCCAGGGGCTGGTGCCTCCTATGTGGTCCCTGGAGGCCCCGACCGTAGCCACGGCAGCTTCCCTTCTCGCCCCGCAGGTTCTGCTGCAGACGAGCCCATATCACGTCGACTCCCTGCTGCAGCTCAGCGACGCCTGCCGATTCCAGGACGATCAGGAGATGGCGCGAGACCTCGTAGGTGAGAGCTGCTCGCACTGGCCCTGCTGCAGCGCCCATGTCCCCTCCCACGAGTGTCTAAGAGGCTGCGGCATAGATGCCATTCGATAAAGTGACTGAGGTACAAATGGGTTTCCCAGGATATTGTTAAAAGCGTTGGAGTTGTACAGCCTCGTAGATCCTAGACCGTTTTTGTTACTTAAAAAGAAACCTCAGCTCTTCAGTCACCTCCCAGTGCCCAGCCCCTGGTAACCACCAGTCTGCTTTCTGCCTCTGGATTTGCCTGTTGACGTTTCTGATCATGTCTGTCTGGCTTCTCCATGCACCGCAGTGTCTCTCAGGCTGGGTGATGTTCCAGTGGGTAGTGGGCCCCATTGGTGTGCCCACCAGCACGTGACACACGGGCTGTCCCCACACTGGCCCTCGTGAGTGAGCTGCTGGGCCTGTGTGTGGGTTTTGTGAGGACGTGTGTTTGCATTTCTTTGTCTGGAATCGGTGTCACGTTGGTGCAGTCACTGCCCCCAAATCCTAGTAACCTGACTCCTTCCAGAGCTTTCCTTGTTGTGAGCACAGAGGACGGGGTTGCAGCTGCCGCACAGTGGCTGTGATGCCCTCCCCTGGTGTTTGTGTGCCCCACAGAGAGAGCGCTGTACAGCATGGAGTGTGCCTTCCACCCCCTGTTCAGCCTCACCAGTGGGACCTGCCGGCTGGACTACCGCAGACCCGAGAACAGGTGAGCCGGCCTCCCCGAGGGCTTTGCTTGCACTCACTGCTCTTTTTCTTGTGTGTTGGAGCTTTCACAGGTGACATGAGACCCAGGCAAGGGAGTGGGAGCAGGTGGCATGGGCTGTCCACAAGGGATCCCACCAGGTGGCTTGAGCCAGGCATCTCACTGGGTTTAAAGCTTGAATGCAAGAGGGCTGGGGTCAAATGTGTTTGTGTTAGAAGTGAGCCTACTAAGCCACTTCGCTGTGGTGGGGTCTGTCATCGTGTTTCCTTGTATCTTTGGACAAAAGGGTCCGTGCCCGAGAGTTTAGGAAGCTCTGCAATGCCCTGTACGCAGGTGTTGTGGTTCTGGAGTGAGCCAGACCTTGTTGCTCTGCAGTGAGCAGTTGTGTGCATGGGCCTTCTTGTCTTACAGAGACTTCTGCCGTCCTGAACTTCCGCCCCTGCTCAGGCCCTGATGGCCACAACAGCCTCCCCGCTGCCCTCGTCCTGGTCTTCAGGGCCCTGGCGGGTGGGCATGCCCTCTGTCCTGGGGCGTTCCCCCGCCCTGGAGGCCGTCCTGGGTCCCAGGCATGCTGACCCACTGCACCGTCTGCACTGGGGACTGCATCTGAGCTTTCTCCACTGCTTGTGTTTGTTAGCCTGGCTGCTCCAGTTAAATTCCTAGTTCTTTAAGACAGGCTGTAAGATACTCACATTGCAGGCGTTAACCAGGCAGTAGGTGCTGATAAAAATAATGGCCTGCTGGGGTCATTGCAGTCACAGACTTGGTGCATCAACATCAGAGCTACTTTGACTGTGGAAATGTGAGGAAAGATGAAGGTTGTAATGACAGATTTTAACTCTCTTCCCATAAGTAATAACTGCAGTCCTGCTTTTCACCAATTTTAGGGACTGAGACATAAGATTGTCCTGGGGCCTCACAGACAACCTTCCCATGGGTGTTGGGGTGCAAAAAAAAACCCCAAGATAAAGGTTTGAACTAAGAAGCTTGGTTTTATGTAATGGTTGCACCTGTAACTCAGACAGCAAGCAGAGCATCACCTTCTCTGCAGACACAGGAGCATTCTCGAACATTCACAGTGATTAGACCACACAGGAAATGCGACGAGGCGGCAGGCGCGAGGATCCTGGGCGACGTGGCTTTTCCCCCTGCTGTCGCTCTGGCTCACGAGGAACTGTCTTGGGTCTAGGAGCTTCTACCTGGCCCTCTACAAGCAGATGAGCTTCCTGGAAAAGCGGGGCTGCCCGCGCACGGCGCTGGAGTACTGCAAGCTCATCCTGAGGTGAGTGACCGGCTGGGCTGCGTGCTCGCTCGGGGGCCACAGGCCCGCGACACCACGTGGGCCCACTCTGGGTTTTATCTCCCTCTGCCTCCCCGCTCGCGTGCTGCCTCCGGAAGCCTGGAGCCCGACGAGGACCCCCTGTGCATGCTGCTGCTGGTCGACCACCTGGCCCTGCGGGCACGCGACTACGAGTACCTGATCCGCCTGTTCCAGGAGTGGGAGGTAGGCGGGGGTGCCGACGGCCTGCAGAGTCCTGTCGTCCGGGGGCGGCGAAGGTCCCGGGAGACCCGCCTGCTCTGCTCGGTGTCACTAGCACAGGAGCACTGAGGAGCTTCTTGGCGACCAGGCCGACGGGGGTGTCACCGTGCTTGTGCTCAGGGCGCCCGATTTCCCTTCATCGTGGCCTCAAACCACAGGCCTCCTGGTGCAGGTCATATACTGAGGTCGCTGAGATCTGTGGCTGGAAGGACTCGACTCTTCGTGAAATTGTGAAAGAAAAAAATCACGTTATTTTTGCTGTCGTACTTCAAACTACCGTTCTATTTCACTGCTATTAACCACTCACTCTGCCTGATTTATAAGTGGAACTTGAGCACAGGTACTCGTGTGCAGAAGAGAACAGTGCAGGGCTCAGGATGAGGGGAACCACTGTCTGTCGCTTCTGCGAAGGGAAAACCCCGGACGTGAGGTTGTCGTCGCACATTGGGCTCCCTGTCTGAGAACTCTGCCTCTGTTTTCACCTCGCAGGCTCATCGCAACCTGTCCCAGCTTCCAAACTTTGCCTTCTCCGTGCCGTTGGCGTATTTCCTGCTGAGTCAGCAGGCAGACCTCCCAGAACAGGAGCTCAGCTCGGCGAGGGAAAAGGCCTCTCTCTTGGTGCGACAGGCCCTCATCATGTTCCCTGGAGGTGGGTGCTGCCAGGCCTGCCCGGTGGTAGTGAAGCTGAGTCTGAGTGGTTTGGTGTTAGGATGTCTTTTGATGTTGGTAGTTTGAGAAGAAGTTACCCTCTGAAGGAGGGGTGGCATTTTCTGAGGGGCAGGGAGTAAGCGCCTGGACTGGGGAAGTGGGGACGGGAGGGGCAGCCAGCCAGCCGGGCTGCGCTTTCTTGTCTGCAATGCTGCTGCTCACCAGTGTGAGGGACTGAGACAGAAGATTATCCTGGGGCCTCCCGGACAACCTTGCCATGGGCGTCGTGTGCAGAGGTGTGCGGGCTCGTCCCTGGGTGGCAGTCAGCAGCTTCCTGCACATCCTGAAAGGGAGTGTGGCCTGGGAGAGGAGCT